CAACACATTTGTGTGCACAATGATTGCATTTCCTCCCATGAATGCTTTGCATCTCATTCTAGATCATCTTGATAAGCTTCATGCGCTTTGTCACGACCAATCTTGCCGCACGGACTCATTCTTGCATGATGGACACTTTGTGTGCGCTAACCATTGTATTTCCGAGTGTTGCTTGTGTTTGCTCTTTTTGCATGTCTATCACTCCGGCGACACCTTTGACTACTTGGATTGTGCAATGCCTTCATCGATGTCCAACTACAAGTCCGTCCATGACAATCGTTTCCATGGTGATGAGGATCACGATCCGAGGTCGGATCTTTCCCAAGGGGGGGGGGATGATGCGGAGCATCCCACGTTCATCCCCATGTACACTCCGACTACTCTCCAAACCCCAAGAGGACTTATGACGAGACCTCAACTATACGCCATTGGACACAAGGTGAACTCGCTCCTCTCCGAATCGTCACTTTCCACATGTGAGACATGGCTACTACCTCAGACGTGTGTGCTATGCATGTCCAGGAACCAAGAGGAAGGCCATGGAACAGCTGGGAGAATTGGACAAGACGGCGGGGACACCAAGTGCGAGGAACAAGAGGAAGAGCTGCTGGGAAGCTACAGCGCTCGGACGTCCGACAGCCGCCGGACGACCGACGATCTTCGGACGTCCGACGCCTGGAGACTCCACTAGCCAGATCGACTGCAGCCGAGTCAACCTACAGCGCCCGAACGACCGCCAGACACCGGACGTCCGATGACTCCCAGGGCCACGGACGGCCGACACCACCGGACGACCGAACGACCAGCACCCGAGCCGAAACTACGGATGTCCGACATCTCCGGGCGTCCGGACCGTCCTGAAGCTCCAGACGACCGACGTCCTCCGGACGTCCGACGCCTGTGCGTCCTCCCGTGTGTTGGGCCGAAGCCACTTACCCTTTCATTCACCTAGACTATAAATAGTCCTCTCCCACCTCCTAGCTAGGGTTAGCGCTGATTTAGCTCATTTGTGAGATAGAGCCTCGCTCATCCATCGGATCTCCTCCTCGTGAGAGACCACGGCCTCTTCGGAGAAGATCCATTCGGATTCAAGACCCCTTTACGGGAAGATCCCTCGTGGATTCAAGACCTCCTCTCGGAGATGAGCTACCGCCACTTGTATCGTCTGTTATTGACTTTGTATCTCGTGCTACTCGTACTTCGATGATATAGACCTTGTGTGATTGATCTCTTGTCGGTTGAGTGTTTCTCTCGTTCCTCCCCGTGATTTCCTCGTGTTCTTCCGCGCGTTCTTCGTGATTCCCCGTAGGATCCACTCCAAACGTGAAAGATCGGCCCCATAGGGTTCCGCCCTACATCAAACGGGTTGCCGCCTCGTAGGCCCAGGCAAGAGATTCCCGGCGGCGCATCGGCGAGGTGCACCCCGATGTCCATGTGCCGGACCGTCTCGTCGGCGTGGGACTGCAGCTGGGGTGAGAACCCGAACGCCGCCTTCTTGACGCATCTCAGAATCTTGAACGGCTGGAGGGCAATCAGGTCTGTCTGGTTGTTGTCGTCGAAGTCCGTGCGCACGCGGCGGTGCAGCAGGCAGCCGGGCGGTAACCTGAAACCACTACCCGACATGGCTGCTAGGGAGAAAATGCTAAACGTAAAGGCACCTACAGGCCCTTATACGGGGACCTTCCAACAAACTAAACATTGCCCCCCTGATTTTCAGGGGGTGGGGCCTGCTTTGGTAACTGAAGTCCAACCACAAACTTCCACGTCGCATTATTTTCTGGTCAGCCTGTAAAACCTTGTATAATCCCGTATGTGTAGCATTACTGCTGCTAGGGTAGTATATGTTTTCTTTACGGAAGAAGACGACCTACATGGACGGTGCAACGAATTTGTTGGATTTTGTTTTTCCGGTGTTATTAACAACTCGATCAATGACCTACATGGATGTGTATATACACACACGTGTACGTCGACAGGACACCGGAACAACTATAGGAAGCTGACTCGGACTTTCTCAGCCGAACCGTGCGCCAAGGATAATTTCGGAAAGTCTATTGAACGAACGTTCGCTAGATTTGTTTTTGGCGCAACCTAACATCTTTTTTCTAGAAAACTTTCGATATATTCATCTTCAATCATGGTACTACAAGAAATACAAAAAATAATACAAATTACATCTAGATTCGTAGACCATCTATCGACGACCACAAGCACTAAAGCGAGCCGAAAGCGCGCCGCCGTCATCATCCCTCCCTCGTCGGAGCCGGATAAATTTGTTGCAGTAGACAGTCAAGAAGCCATACTTTCAAGTTTTTTTTTTCAAAGGTCATCCTTCCAAGGTTAGCTATACGTGATACCTGAGTGAATCTCGACGCGAGGACAACCACACAAACACCTCGGGAGGGACGTTCGCTCCTAAGTCATTGAGTCATCACCAGTGAGCTTATCATCATCTCGTCATTGTTGCTCCCCATTTCCACCCTCAGAAAGTTGCGGTGGAGGTCGAGCTCCATGATATCCTTTATCTACCCATCCATTTTCATTTTCTACATTGTGATCTGTGCATGTATTTTTGTATTTTTTTTTGTTTCTTTTAGCAAAAGAATATATAACTTTAAACTTTGCCGGACAACAAAACATTCTGATTACATTGTGGGAAAACAATTAGATTTTTTTCATGCATCTTAAATACTTAAATGAATTTTTCATTAAAAATTAATTTCATTTTGTATATTTATGTTTTTCGGAGCAAGAAATCTGAAAGTTTTTTCACACATTAAGATTCTAAAGTTTGTTTGACCTGCAAAGTTCACATCCATATGTTGTTTCATTTGAGAGAAACAAAAAAGAGAAACTTTCATGTAGTAAGTTAATTGGTGGCACAAATCACAAAGCTATGTTGGAGGGGTGAGGATAAGGGGTGCCATGGAGCTCGGTCTACAGAAAACCACTCTGACTTTCGACCCCCACCTCTCTCTCGCATGTTTGTTCCCAACAAAGTTGGATCCTCATAGGCGGCGCCAGCGCCACTGGTGGTGGGGAAGGCCTTCACGACAAGCACACTCTACATGACAAAGAAGCTCATCCACCATCAGCGCTAGCAGCGCGGCCTCAGGCACCACGGGGGCTCTTGCTCTTTCTTGTCGGCCTGCAACCTTCGCTCTTCATGCCGAGGAGGCCTTCACGGCGCACGGGCTTGACACGGCGGAATAGCTCTTCCTCCATCTACATGAGCAGGGCATCCTCAGGCACCACGGGGACGGGGGTACATGACCCCTCGCCGCCGGCCTACCCCGTCCCCTCCTTGGGAATCACAGGCACCCGACCCATCGTTGTCAGCCTCCCTTACCCGGCCCGACGTTTTAGCTCTCAAGGGCATATCCTCCTACGGTGAATAGTAAATTCAAAACAATATCAGACAAATTTAAAGAAAAAAATCTGATTTCTGTTACATGTTCATATTAGTAGTGAAGAGAAAGTTGTGGTGTACCACATAACAATGTACCCTTTATCCTCACTTTCCATTCTTGCATCAAAGTTCGTGCAAAAAGCTTCTCTTTTTTGTTTCTCCAAATAAAAGAACATTAGAACTCAAAACTTCGCACATCAACATCACACAATTATTTTTATGTGCAGATAAGTTTTCGGATTTTTCGGCGCAACATGAATGTTTAAAAATGATAGAATTCATTCAAAATTTTAAATTTGACAAATTTTATGTTTTATAAAAAATGGAAACATTTATACAATGAGTGACACTTGTGTATAATCTGCAAAGTTTCAAGGTCAAATGTTCTCTTGTTTGGAAGAAACAATAAAGAAAAAAGATTCTATATAGGGATAAGACGACTCATAACGCAAACTGAATTATCTAGGTAGAGGGTACACTGGCATGGGGATATAAAAGTTCCACACTCTCAAAGCGTGTTTGACAGTTTTCATGTGAAACAGAATAGTTGTAGTTCTTATATTTTTTTGTACTGTTTCATGTTAGTATCCACAGTTAGTTTCTCAGAATTAAGTAAGATCAAATCAGAATCACATGTTCTATCATCGTGGGCAGGGCATCCTCAGTCACCACAGGGACGGGGGTATATGGTCCGTCGCTGCCGGCCTATCCCGTCCCTCCTTGGGAACCGAAGGCGCCCGGCCCATCATTGTCCGACTCCCTCACCCGGTCGGACGTTTTAGCTCACGAGCATATCCTCCTGGGTGAACAGTAAATTCAAAACAATATCAAACAAATAAAAAATTGATTTCTTTTACATGTTCATTTTTGTATCCAAGGGAAAGTTGTGGTGTACCCCCATAACAATGTATCCTTTATCCCTACTGTTTCATTCTTGCATCAAAGTTCATGCAAAAAACTTCTCTTTTTTGTTTCTCCCAAATAAAAGAACATTAGAACTCGAAACTTCGCAGATCAACATCACACAATTATTGTTATGTGCAGATAAGTTTTCGGATTTTTTGCGCAACATGAATTTCTAAGAATGATAGAATTCATTCAAAATTTGAAATTTGACAAATTTATATTTCATAAAAAAGGGAAACATTCTGTACAATGATTAACAATTGTGTATAGTTGATCTGCAAAGTTTCAAGGTCAAATGTTCTTTTGTTTGGAAGCAATAAATAGAAAAGAAAAAAAATTCTATACAAGTATAACACGAATCATGATGCAAACTGAATTATCTAGGTAGAGGGTACACTGGTACGGGGGTATAAAAAATCCACACTCCCAAAGCGTGTTTGACAATTTCCATGCGAAACAGAATAGTTGTAGTTCTATATTTTTTTGTACATGTTCATGTTAGTATCCTCAATTAGTATCTTAGAATAAGTAAGGCCAAATCAGAACCACATGTTATATATGCTACTGTATTTGACAGTTTGTAGTTCATCACCAATGACAGATTTTTTGACAATTGCATTATTTTTTCCGTGCAGCAAGGGCTTCCGTGATGCGAAATCACATCAATGACGTCTTTATCTACACATTAGTACATTTGAAATTTGCCCTTGGTGTTCACAAAGACTTGTTCAGCAAGCAGGGCTCCATCCCCATCCGCTCGCTTTATCTCCAGGTTGGCGTTCTGGTAGCAGCTTCCCAGGGCAATAGCAGCTTCTGCCGTGGCTCCATACACCAGCCTCTGCATTGCATTGTAACATTCACCATGATTGATTGATTGATTGTCGATTAAGAAATTAAGCTATTACATTCTACCAGACAGAAGAATGCTAAAGTAAGGGGGCGAACCTTGATCCGGGATAGACGAACGGCGCCGAAACACATCGGACAAGGTTCGCAGGAAGCATACATTTCGCAGTCCGACAAGTCGATCTTCCCAAGCTTCTTGCAAGCCTAGAGTGAAAGCAAATCACCGGTCAGTTTTCGATACAAACGACCAAACATCGGAAATGAAGTACAAGAAAATACTGAGTAACAAAAAATGTAGTAAACAGCAAGCACCAAGTGGCTGTTGAGGATGGCCTCTGTCCACAGGGCACCTCAATCACCTCTCTAATTGCAGTTACTTCAGCATGGGCGGTTGCATCAGTGTTCTTCACAACCATGTTATGACAACTGACCACTACTTCGTCGTTGCGGACTACAACTGCGCCAAATGGCCGTCCGTGGCCACGGTCGACTGCTCGGTAAGCTTCTTCTACCGCTATCGATAAGAACTTGTGCTCCCTATCTTGCACGGCTGTTCAAAGAAGCAAAGCATAAGCAAGCCAGTCTTTTCTTTAAGAAAGAAAGAAAGAAAGAAAGAAAGAGTGTCTTTCCAATTGCAGAGAATAACAATGATAAGCCGGGGCTGATTTAGTCAGTCAAAAGGTAGAATAACTAATAAATGAAATAAAGTAAAGCACCTAGGTAGGTATTGTAGAACAACTTATGCAATGTATAGAGAAATTAGCACACATGAACAAACAAGATCCTCTTGAACTCAGAAAGATCGTGCAGGACACCAAAAGAAAAATGCAATCCCTTTCTTGTGTGGCCTGCTCTGCGGTTGTGCTGAACCACCGGAATCCCCAGATTTAACAGACGGAGGACCGTGCCTTCTTCCGCTTCATATCGATCGGCATCAATCACTTCTATGTGATTGGATTTGAGGAGCTAAACAAGTGCCCGAGGACAGTTTCGGTACTTACTGACGATTAAACCCCGCCTCCTTGAACTTCAGTTCGATACTGAGCTAAGCAGAGCACAAAACAGAGTACGTACCAAACAATCTGACCCGCGAGATAACCCGAGGAGAGCGTACCCTTGGCTTCCTCCATGGGGAGGGCGGCGGAGGAGGGTAGCAGATCCGCGGAGCGAGCGAGGAGATGCCTCCTGTCGGTCCCGTCCGTCCGTGGGAACCAGGAGGAAGGGAAAGGGCTTGGTGCCAGGTCGTCGCTCCTCCAGTCGACGCCGAAGCCTGATGAAGCTGGAGCACCGGTCCACATCAGCGCTCGCTAGGAGTAGCACTACAGCTTCTCACACCAACGACGTGTAGATTTTAGCTATTATCCGGTGTCAAACTTATAATCTGGGCAACCAGCTCCTCAATATAAAACCTGTCTACACAAATCTAAGACAAGACTTTCGGGACGGAGGGAGTATTATGCAAACTACTGCTCTAGCAAAGTTGTGGTATGACTCCATAATAACAGCTGATATGTCCAGGGGCGGATCCAACCCAGCCCAGCGCCGCCCTCTTTGTTACAGTACACAAAGAGGATGGGCCTCGCGCCCCGGGCCTGCCCCCCGCCTGGGGCCTAAATCCACCACTGGATATGTCGACCAAAAAGATCGCTCTAACATAGCCTTCGGCCCTGTTTGTTTGGGCTTTTGCATCTGCTTTTATATATTTTCCACTTTGACAAAACAACAACAACAGAAAACCCTTCTAAATATGTGCTTTTTGTTTAGGCTTTTGGTTTATACCATCATATAACAATATTGATTCATAAGCCAAAAGCCGAAGAAAAAGCCCCTATTTAGAAGCTTTTATGGCTTTTCCGCCAAAGTGGAAAAGCTGCATAAGCAGAAACAAAAGCACAAACAAACAGGGTCTTCATATAGTTTCAGATCATTGTAATTTATGAAAGATGCTTCAAATCCAGCGCACGAGCCTCCATATTTAGAGGCAATGGGACATTGGTTTGGAGGGCGCTCCATCCACCGACCGCTCATGCACGATGTGATCCCGCACAACCCATCCTCTCATATGTGTCAACTAATGGCGGCCATCACATGACAACTGCCCATGGCCATTTCCGTCACATTTCCCGCCAGTTTTCTCCGCCCACGGCTATAAAAAGATCGTCGCCATGTCCGGTAGCTCATATCCCTTGCCGCCGCAACCTCCACCTCCTTCCCCTGCCGCCCACAACTGGTCTCGGAGGAGGAGAGGGATTGCCGTGAAGTGTCAGTTAAAAATTATATTAAGGATTCTGGAGCACTCACTGAAATTTTTGGGTGCTCCGCCTCATGTTTAATACGATTTAAAAAAAATACAAAATGAAGTTTGAAATTTCAATTCTTGTTTGATTAAGATGGAGAAGAAACAGTTCTTATTCTTTGTCGGCATAGGTGGTCACGCCCACGTCCGGGCGAAATTCACTCCAATGGCTGAGATGTGCAAGCTCCTAATCTAGTGTATTATGTTTATTTGTATCTCGTAGGTCAATATAGAAAAAGAGACATGTCACTGACCCATGTCCAATATTTGATTTTTTATCTCCACCTTCTTTATCTCTACTATTAAAGAGGAACGAGAGTTGGTCGTTGTACATTCGCCTCCACCCCTGTCCCTCCCCTGTCTGGTTCCCCCTCCTATACGTCCCGCATTAACTCAATCAAATCAAATCACACCAAAACCTCAACTAAATCAAAACTTTCCTTGTGTTCCCCTACCCATACCGAAATCACATTTTACCAAAACCTCAACTAAATCAGATGTCCCTTGCCTTCCCCTATCCACACTCAAATCAAATCTTATGAAAATCTAGAATACAGTGGGTGTAAGGTATATGTCAGACACGATTGATGTTGAACCATTTGACAGTTAGCTAGTGTGTGCTAATGGGATATCAACCCATCCAATTAGGTTGCTACTTTAGGTGCCTCATTGTGTCAAAAGATCTTCATAAGAATCCAGGAAGATTAAAATCTAAGGATTTTCTTCCTACATCCCTTGTTTGATTCACATGATTCAACACTGTAAGGTTTTTAAGGGTCCTCTTACACCGCGTTTCATCGAAAATTTGGATCCACCCAAATCCCTTGTAAAGTATCCTTTGTCTTCCATTATGCAATCAAACACATCAAAATATCATAGGATTCAAATGAGCAGGACATTGCAATCATGTGTCAAATCCTTTGTATTTAGAATTCTACAATAGACTTTTTTTTCATGAAACTAATCAAGTGTATGTTTTATGGTGGCACCTTAAACATGGTTAATGTGCAAACATGTTTCCCCATATACAAACAATTTTACGCTATAATACTGAAAATTGCATTTGGATGTTGGGCTCCAATAAGCCCATTTTATTGTTTTTTTCTTAATATAGTATATTTGAAGTGTTATTTTTTGTGACTTGTTTGGCATGTATATATAAATATGATCTATGTACCTACAAACTATCGTATGCTACACATTTGTAGACATGTGTACAAATACATGGATTTGAAAACAGTAAACAATATGCACATAGTTTGCTTGAAAATTCATAAATGTGTCTTTTTCTACAGCTCAAATGCTAGTATGTCCCAATGAGATTTTATCTTGTCAGAATTATTTGATACTTCCAAATACAATTTTTGATTTTTTTTGTTTTCTTAAAAAATGTGCCCACAGGAGCTTGGGCTCTAATACACCTCTCTCTTGTAAATAATATTTTTTGATAAGCCTAGTAATTACAATACAATACTTTGATTGTTAGAAAGTTTTCGTTGATAGTCGGTCACTTGCGAAATGCTAAAAACCATTCATTGTGGATGGAATGTAAGTCACATTACTATGTTTAAGTTATCTGATCTTTATCATAATTTTAGCATATATAGGAAGTCCTTTATTGTAGGGAACTTTTTTTAGGGGTATACAAGTTTTATTGCTCAAAATGCACATGTTGTCGGATACAAAATGGATCATGAGATTGGACCAACCAGACATGCACTAGTAGAAAAAGGGTCAAATGTGAGACACATTAGTCCCGATTTGTAACAGAACCGACACTAATGTGTCCATTAGTGCCGGTTCCAACGGCTAGCCGGGAGGAGCTCTTTAGTATCGGTTTGTGGCAAACCTTTAGCATCGGTTCGTGCCACGAACCGGTACTAATGAGAGTGGTGGCAGGATGTTGTCAGAGTGGGGCCCTTCCAGCACCTTTAGTACCGGTTCGTGGCACGAACCGGTACTAAAGGTCGTCCTATATAAATCCTTCGTCCACCCGCACTGTGTTCTTCCCCCTTTCCCCTCTCCCTCTCCTCTGTTCTTCCCTTCTTCCTCTCGAGTTCATCACAAAATTTGCCCCAAATTTGTCAAGATTTGCAGGCCCTCATCCATTCAAATGATCACCAAGGTTAGCAACTTTGTCCTTTCATCTCTCATTGCTAGATTAGCTCTTGCATTGGTTTATATAGATTAATTGTGGGTTTTAGTAATTTGGGAGGAATTATATGTGGTAGTATTTGATTTATATGCAATTTGAGGTCAAAATAACACTTAGTTTGCATATGTAGGTGTGGTTTACTTAGTGCCTTCTAAATCTCCGTCATAACCACCGTCGATCGCTCGCACCGTCCCGTCGCCGGCACCACCTTGTGGTGAGCCTCTTGTTCATGAAATTTTATATAAAAAATTGATGTTTGTGTGATTTGGATATATAGTTACTCGTATAATAATTATCTTACCCGTACGTTGTTTGTTATACATAGTGCCATGGTTTTGATATCCGTCCCCGTCGGCCCTCGTCCTTGTTATGATTCGAATGTGGTATATTCTCTTTTAAAACTATTTGTTGCATTTCGTGTTTATGACAAATTATGCCCATCAAGTTGACATAGATATTTTTATCTAGGAGGTATGTGAACCGGAAATTCCAACCGACCCTATTGTCGAGAGGTTAAATTTAGTTGAAAGAGAAAATGAGTACTTGAAAGAAAAATTGAAAAGAATTGAGGGGGAGAAGATGGAATTGGAGTTGCATGTTGCCGATGTCGTCGATGATCACAAGATCAAGATGGAGAAAATACGCTTGAAGATTAGAAAGATTAGAAAATATGCCATCGATAGTGAGGCTTGATATCATTATGCTGTTGGATCAATTGTTACCTTAGTTGCGATCTTGCTCGCATTTGTTGTTGCATTTAAATGCTTTAGCTAGAGAGTTATTTGTTTGTTGCATTTAAGTGTTGTATGAACTTTATGTATGAACTTGTATTAATTTGGTCTATTCGGTGTTGTGTAATGAAGATGAGCCGGCAATGGATGTACGATGACCGATGCTCTCCCCAGTTCGTTGAGGGCGTGCATACTTTTCTGCTTGCGGCTGAGGCAAACAAGCGGGCGGATGGTTTTATGCCTTGTCCATGTGCTGGCTGTAAGAATGGTCGCAATTACTCTACATCAAGAACCATTCACGTCCACCTGTTTGAGTCCGGTTTCATGCCCCACTATAATGTTTGGACCAAGCACAGAGAAAGAGGGGTTATGATGGAAGACAATGAAGAAGAAGAGGACGACGACAGCTATCCTGGCCATGGGTTCCCTGAATACGATGATACAACAATGGGGGAAGAAGCTGAGCCGGTAATGCGGGAAGAAGCTGAGCCGGCAATGCGGGAAGAAGCTGAAGAAGAGGCATCAGATGAGCCCGTTGATGATCTAGGTCGGGCCATTGCCGATGCAAAGAGAAACTGCGCAAGTGATTTGGAGAAGAAGAAGTTGCAGCGCATGTTAGAGGATCACAAAAAATTGTTGTACTCAAATTGCGTAGGTGACAAGAAAAAGCTGGGCACCACACTGGAATTGCTGCAATGGAAGGCAGAGAATGGTGTATCTGACAAGGGATTTAGAAAGTTGCTGGTAATGATAAAGGATATGCTTCCAAAGGGCAACGAATTGCCCGAGAGTACGTACGAAGCAAAGAAGGTTGTCTGCCCTCTAGGGTTAGAGGTGCACCCATGTGGAAGGGTCCTGGCGGACAACCTGTTCCAAAGGACGCTGACGGACGCGCACCCATGTGGAAGAAGAAATCTATATTTTGGGACCTGCCATATTGGAAAGCCTAGAGGTCCGCTCCGCAATCGACGTGATGCACGTGACGAAAAATCTTTGCGTGACCCTGCTTGGCTTCTTGGGCGTGTATGGGAAGACAAAAGATACACCTGAGGCACGGGAGGACCAGCAACGTATGCACGGAGAAGACGGCATACATCAGGGTCAGGCAAGCTACGC